ACGTCTTCCTAATTTGAGTTCACCCTAGCCAAAGGTGCAGGTAGCAGGACTCTAGCCTTAACCTGAAAAATGTGAGGGCCCCCGAAGGGGTCAGTACTCCATATAAAGTACTAGTGACAAGCAGGCTATATGAGGAATAACTAATGTTTCAGACACGAGACCCAAAAATAGGATGATACATATGCTTAGAGCATCTCCAATGGGGATGTCTACTCTCTTCCACATTCTTACACACGGGTCCCATTTTTTATCTCACAAATTTTATGTGTAGGACCTACATATCTCCACATTTATTTTATTTTTCATTTTTCTATATCACTTTTAACCCACTTTTCATCCACTTTTACTCCTCGATTCCCGTGTAAAGTCTATTTGTGGACATTGTCATACGCATTGTCTACAATTTACTCCTATCTCTCTCTTCCTTTTCATTTTTCATACACACCACTTTCTCCATATTAAATTAAAATAATCATTCTATCTCTATCTCTCTCCTATGCCACGTAGGATAGACTTTACTCCAATCCACTACCCCATTGGAGATGCTCTTATAGGTATAACCATCGTTACCCCATTCCCAAGATAATACATACCGTATATACTTGTAAAATACTTGACCCGTGGGTCGTTTTATCACAGAGTCTTTTAGAGGTAAGGCGATTACCCAACCTTTCCCATTCATTCCCGAATGCCTAGCTCACGAGCTACATTCTACCTTCATAATATCCTACCGAGTTTCAGGAGTGTTTACCCTCCCGGGGATACTCAACCCCATCCGAGTTTTGGGATCATTTACCGTCCCGAGGATGCTCAACCTCAACCGAGTTTTAGGATCATTTACCGTCCCGAGGATACTCAACCTCAACCGAGTTTTAGGATCATTTACCGTCCCGAGGATACTCAACCTCAACCGAGTTTTAGGATCACTTACCGTCCCGAGGATGCTCAACCTCAACTGAGTTTTAGGATTGTTTACCGTCCTGAGGATACTCAACCTCACCGAGTTTTAGGATCATTTACCGTCCCGAGGATACTCAACCTCAACCGAGTTTTAGGATTGTTTACCGTCCTGAGGATACTCAACCTCACCGAGTTTTAGGATCATTTACCGTCCCGAGGATACTCAACCTCAACCTTATTTCTAACCAAACCCTAACCTGGATATGGCTAACCTTGCATTCACTTAACTATGGACAATACCTAGTCCTATAGTCATATAATAATCCTTAGTAACCAACATGGACGGGTCCCACCTGATCGGTCCACGTTAACCTACTCAAAAACTACCCGTTTTGAGTATAACCCAATACTCGATCGAGTACCCACCTATACTCGGTCGAGTACAGGAGGCAGCAGCCTGTAGGGCTAATTTTCCATGCATACTCGATCGAGTACCTATCCATACTCGATCGAGTATAGGAGACAGCAGCCCTCAAGGCAGATTTTCAGCAAATACCCGGTCGGGTATTTGCCAATACCCGGTCGGGTATTGCAGTTGACTTGGCGGTCAACGCCCGTTCGACCGCCCAAACGGAGTCCGATTAACGTGAAATTTTATATGCACGTACTACTTGAAGTCCTTGATCCAAAAATACCTGTTTTGGTCCTTAGAACATCATACATCTCAATTTATAATCATATCACTAATCAAACCTACATTTCATGCTTTCCAACCTTGTTATAGTTCTTAACATAACATAACACATGCTTTAATACCATTAATCAATTCATAAAACATATTATTGATTAATTTAGGTAATCTCATGCCTCACGCAAAAGTTATAAAGCATATAGCCGTCTTCTCACCTTATTGAAGCTTATGAAGTTCTAGCCTTCCCGGTTTAGCCCCGGTGAAACTCCGGTGAACTTCAACGAACTCCGGCGACAACTCCGGCGCCCCTTTCAACTCCGTGAAAGTTCTTGAAATACCTTATACAAGTTAATAACAAGGTTTTATCATCATAAAACCCATATCGCCACAAATAACCTCTAAAAGGTTATTTTCCGACGAACCCGTCAACTTTGCTCTCAAAGTTCGTTTTGGGTATAAACCAACCCCCTAACTCCCATTCTACACTTTTACATGTGTAGAACTATCCTAGGAGTATGAAACATGATTAAAGAGAAGAAATGGGATTAATGAAGTGATTACCTTGTTAACTACAAGTTTTCCCACCTAAAGCTCCTCTTTTCTCTTCTCTTTTCTCCTTCTTCTTCCTTAGCTTGGTGCGTGTAAGGATGATGAAATGGAGTCTTTTGCAGACCTTCTCTCCTCAATGAATCTAGCTTGGACGAGAGACAAAGGCTGGGGTGGTTGTGAATAGCCTTTTTGGCTTATTCACCAATAATATGGGGGAGGGGGACCCCTTTTCCTATCAACTTGGTCTCAAACCACTTCCTCCCTCTTTCCATATGATATGGTGCGGCTCCCTTTGACAATTTGCAGACCAAGGACGTGGGGTGGCCCCCACTCATGTGGGAGGTCATCCCTTTGTGACCCGAGATGTATAATCGGCCCCGAAAGTTGTATTTTCCGGACTGTTTCAACTATATTTCATTTTATTGGGTTAAAAGAAATATCTATCATTCTTCCAATCATCATTGGCTTTTAGAATGAATATATATATATTCCCCAACTTTTAATTTAGCGGTCTCCATAATTTATTATGGCTTTTTCTCTGTTAGTGCGTCGATACCGATAAATGAGCTTCATATGCCCTATTGGTTACTCACATAATTTATATGGTCCAACAAGGACATCCACCATCATACACATATTACCTCGACTCAAACGAATATAATATGTGGGCCCGATAATATCGGGTGGTCCCCACCTCCAGTGTGGGCCCCACGTGAATTTTACTATTCACGTAAAAAGAAATGATAAAAATTTACAATCACGTAAAATGCATTCATTCATCTCTTGGGGTTCGATACATAATTTGATAAAGTACAATTACTTGGGGGCGGTGTTACAAAACTGAAACACACGGATCGAACAAAAACGACCGGAACCCATGATCGGAATTGGTTGCCGCCAGAGAAAAATGCTCTAGCGGTTAGGAAGCCCTAGAAACTAGAAAGAGAATGGTTGCGGAACCTCATATAAAACTTAATTATTAAAATTTGAATTAATTATTAATATGAAGAATTTAACTTTAAATTTAACAAAAAATGTTACTTTGAATGTATATGTATACGAGTTTTTTATACCGTGAAGGCACATGTGAAAGGCCAAGGAAGCGTTACTTCACTATTACAGTCACAGTTAGGTTAGTAAGACAAATGAAGTAAACAAGCATGCTGCTTAAAAAGCCCCTTACTAACCGAAAGAGTTAAAGGAGGTGTTTACTTCACTGCTAAAGTCACAGTTAGGTTAGTAAGACAGGTGAAGTAAACACGCACACTGCTTAAAAAGCCGCTTACTAACCGAAAGAGGTGCTTAAAGTGCCGCTTATTAAGCATACCACCCCCCATGTATTAATTAAGCGGCACTTTAAGCTTTTTCAGTTTCCGAATTTACCCCTTGCCCGTAACCTATTGTTATCCCTGCCCCACCTCGACCCCAACCCCACCTACCCCGACCCCACCCTACCCCGACCCCACCCTACCCTTACCCCACCTACCCTTACCCCACCTACCCTGACCCCACCCTACCTCGACCCCACCCTACCCCACCTACCCCCCACCCCGACCCCACCCTACCTACCCCACCCCTACCCTACCTAACCGACCCCCACCCTACCCTTACCCCACCTACCCCGACCCCACCCTACCCCACCCCGACCCCACCCCACCTACCCCACCCCTACCCTACCTAACCGACCCACCCCCCGCCCAACCCTACTACCCTGACCCCACCCTACCCACTACCTCCATCCTAGTACCTTACCCCTTTCCATGCTCTACCCCCACCCGACCCGCCCTACCCTACCCCTACCTCGACCCCACCCCCGATCCCAAACCCCCACCCTATCTCCATCTACCCCTACCCTACCCTACCTTACCTTACCTAGACCCCACCCACCCCACCCCTTATCCCTACCTCGGCCCAATACCAGCCCCACCCTACCCTACCTCACCCCGACCAGCCTTTACCCCTACCTCGACCCCACCACGATCCTGACCCACCCTATCACCATCCTACGCTACCCCTACCCTACCTTACCCCGACCCCATCCCCTACCCTACCTCGGCCCACCCCAATCCCGGCCCCACCTACTACCCATCCTACCCTACCCCGACCACTACCCCCCTTACCCAAACCTCGACCCGATCCCGACCCCACCCTACCTTACCCTGACCCCACCCCACACCTACCCTACCTCAGCCCACCTCAATCTCGGCCCCACCCTACCGACATCTTACCCTACCCCCCTTACCCTGACCCCGACCCCACCTATCTTACCTCTGACCCATTCCCCACCCCTACCTCGGCCCCACCCCGACCCCACCCTATCGCCATCTACGCTACCCCTACCCTATCTTACCCCGCTCCCACCTACCCCCACCCCTACCCCCCTACCACATGCTCCTACCTCGGCCCCACCTCGATCCCGACAATACCTTACCCCGCCCCCACCCTACCTTACCCGACCCCACCCTACCCTAACTCATACCTACCCTACCCTTACCCCCACCCCACCTTACCCACCATCCCCAACCCTCACCCACCCCCTATCGTGTAGGGTAGGGTAGAGGTCAAGGGTGTGGAATTGGGTGTAGGGTAGGGGTGGGGGTATAAGGGGGGCTAAGGGGTTAGCGGTAGGGTACATGTACGAGGTGACCCCCACATATTATATTATATACATGTGTTCATGAATGTTTGTGCATCTATATATGTATAGGGTTATTTTGGACATTTTAATGTTAAACGGTGTTTTAAACCTTGTGAAGTAAACACGATCTTAAAACATTGTTTATTTTATGCGCCGCTTATTAATGCGGGTCTTAATAAGCACAATTTAATAACCCCTTAGAAGTAAACATATCCCAATTCTCTAAAATCCAAATTTTCTAAAATCCAGTCGTATCTACGGTTATAACCCTCCCCTGCGGGCTGCGGTAATTGCGAACCCGACGTATCTCCGGTTGCACTGCACTATCTCCGTGTCACTGCACTATCTCCGTCAAATCCCGACGTATCTCCCGTTAGTGACGCGGGGTGGAGTGTCCGAACCGCAATTTCTCTCCAGGTCTGGCTTGTGCGTGCTTCACAGAATATGGCAGAAGTACTTCGGTATCCATTTGCGTTACATTGCTATGATAAGGGTACCCCTTTTCTGTACTCAAAGGACTCCCTCTCAAGCCTCAAAAGTAAAGTTGTTGTTAGTGATGGAGGTTCTCTCATTGCTTCAAGAACCAAAAAGATGCCATCTTTAAGAGTCACTGGCCTCGAAATGCCTATTCCTAAGGGCTGGCTGGAGATTCCTAGAGTAAAATGTGTTATTAGGGGCAAAGAATCTAGCGTACAATCTAATACTGTCTGTGTTGAATTTGATTCATCATGTGGAGTGGAGAACGCCCCTGCTCATAATGAAAAAGAAGGATCACCTGAAAATTTGCTTCCTTTGAGGAGTTCAGTGTATAAAGAATTACATGTTAGGGCTGGGGATGCTAATCTAAGTGGAAGTAAGGTATATTACTTGGATGAAAGAAATGAAGATGTATTATCGAAAAGGATTTTGAAACTATGTCGGCTAAACAAGGTTAGGAGTGCATTAGCACTTTACAAATCAATGATATTTACAAGTATCAAGCCTAATTCACATGCTTGCAATTCCCTTCTTTCTTGCATCTTAAGGAATGGTAGTCTTGATGACGCTCTTGAGGTATTTGAATCCTTGAAGGAGGGTAAAATGACTACTGCTCACACTTATAGTTTAATTCTCAAGGCAGTTGCTGAAGACCGGGGGAGTGATGCTGCATTGGAATTGTTTGAGGAAATACGTAAATATGACTGTGCTAGCAATGGATTTGATATCATTGTCTATAACACAATGATATCAGCTTTTGGGAAACTAAACAATTGGGTTCATGCTGAGAAATTTTGGAGAATTTTGCAAAACAAAGGTATTATAGGAACAACAGTGACGTACAGCGTATTAATATGCTTATTTGTTCGCTGTGGTAAGAATGAACTAGCTGTTGATGCATATAGAGAGATGGTTCAAAATGGGTTAACGTCAGGAGTTGATGTAATGCAAGCAATGATTGGAGCATGTATGAAGGAGGGAATCTTTGATATGGCATTTTCTATCTTTCAGAGTATGTTGAACAGTGGCCTAAAGCCAAATGCAAAAACATGCAATGCAGTGATTAACTTACTTGGGAAAGCTGGAAAACCCAAGCTTGCATTCAAGGTTTATGATCTCATGAAATCACTAGGTCATGTGCCAGATTCATACACATGGAACTCACTTCTTGGTGCCCTAAACCATGCGAATCGACATGCTGATGCACTTCAATGCTTTGAGAGAATCAGGAAACAGCAACCTGACATCCTAAACTTTCATATATACAATACAATTATGATATCTTGCCAAAGACTTGGGTTGTGGGAAAAATCAGTGGAACTACTATGGGCGATGGAGTCATCCGGAGATTCTGTTTCAACATCCTCATATAATCTTGTAATTGGTGCTTGTGAAGTTGGAAGAATGCCAAAGGTCGCATTGCGAGTTTACAAACACATGGTTGACCAGAATTGTTCTCCTGACCTATTCACTCTGCTGTCTCTGATGAAAAGTTGCATCTGGGGTTCCCTTTGGGATGAAGTTGAGAAGATATTGAATGTAAGCCTTTACATAGGCCTGTCAATGAGTCTGGTCCGGGCCGGAATGTAGTGTACCGGACCCGGACCCGCTAAGTGAATAAGGGACCCAGACCCGGACTCGTTTACCCGCCGGGTCTGAAATTTTGGACCCGGACCCGGACCCAACGAGTCTCAGGTCTGGGTCGGGTAGACCCGCTAAAAATGAAACAGAATCTATATATGAAACGTAGAGTAATTGCACAAACTAGCTAAGCTTAATCATCATTAACAATCAACAAAATTCAAAAGCAGATCATATCCTTGCTTTTCAAAAGACAAAACTCAAAGTTCACATAGAAATCCAATGGTTTTATCCAAACATAGTGAAAGTTTTTGATAATAAAATAAACAAAACTCAAAACAATATCCTAAGCTTCAAGCTTGCATCTTTCTGGAGGACCATCTCAAAATCAGCCATGAATATGTTAGATATTAGGATTTAGGTCACTGGCTTTGCCTACCGACTTACCGAGCCCATAAAGTCCATAAAGGGTTAGTTTGAGTATAATATTGATTATTGAGCACTAGTTTTAAAAAGTTTTTGTAAATACTAAGCCCACTATCGTAAGGGTATTACTGTATTAGTTTGACTATGGATACTGATCACTTATTTTAGGCTTTTAGCTACGTATGTATTACGGAAATATAAAGTCATATATTACTATATTAGGAGTAGGCAGTATATTGTACGAAGTATATATTAATAATTCTAAACGGGTATGGGTCCTTAACGGGTCGGAATCATGTGTACCATACCCGACCCATTTATAAAAAATACTAAAGGGTCCGGGTTCGGGTCCGGGTAAAAAATACTAACTACCATAGTATTCTGTCACTCTATGTTTTGCTAGCATTGAATCATTGATGTTAAGGTCACTTTTCTAACAAACTACCAATGTCTTTCTGTAAGTAAACATGTAGTAATTGAATTAATTTTTTTCATTGATAATTAAGAAACTTAATTAAATGTATCAGCCATCAAGTTTTGTTATCAAGATACTAAATATTTTAGTGGCACTGCTTTTTCTTTTTAACATTATCTTCTTATCTTATCTTTTTATCATTCTATCTTATCTTTTTTAGCTCCAATTTCATGTGTCGATTCGTGTTAGCCGACCCCAAACTCTTTTGGGACTAACCTTGGATGTTGTTGTTGTTGTAGTGCTCTGCGCCAAATGGATTCTTGTACAATGCTGCGATTCAGGGGATGTGTCTGAAAGGCAGGATTGATCTTGCTAGGAAGGTGTATATAAAGATGCATCAGAATGGTCTCAAAGCTGATGGTAAAACAAGGGCTCTATTGCTGCAAAACTTACCGAAAGATCTCAAGCGATAACAAGTACCTGATTGACAGTGGCAAATCAGTTCCTTATGCTGTTGACTGACATAATATTGTTCTTCCTATCTGTGACCAATACGGTGAGTTGTGTTTAGGCACTGTACAAGTAGGGCCAAGAAAATGCAGGTGCACGACTTGGCTAGTTAGATGCATTCAGAAAAGGTCCTGTAAATTGTAATTGACGATAAAATCTAAAATGTGTTGATAGTAACAAACTTAGATGGTGGATTTACTCATTTATCAAAGGTTTTTCTCTTTTGAAATGGCTATCCCCTGACTTACAGTTTACTTTAACATAATAATTGCGTTCTGTTGTATGTTTGCAAGAATTGGGACTAGTCAGATATCTTTTAGTCTTCTCTTGATCATCTCTCTGTCCTATTTTCACACATGAACATGTAGCCTACAACCTTTTGGTGTCAAAACATATTTTGGAAATCCCAAAGAGTTCACAGTTTGGCACCCTATATTGTGGCCCATTTTCATTGTACCTTTTTTACATTGTGCTTATGTTGCTGTTAGGGTTGTAAATGAATCGAATAATTTTGATCCGATTCGTGATTCGAATTCGAAAAAATCGAATACAAATCCGAATATGAATCGGTTTTAGTATTCGAATAAAATTCGAATACGAATACGAATATACATGTATTCGATTCGTATCTTATTCGAATATATTCGATTCGTAATTAATTTCGTGCATTGATTAGTATATTTTTTGAAGTAATTGATTTTTTGATTAATTGATTTTACAATGTTTATTTATTTGAATGGATTTCCGTTTGATTTTTGAAGTAGCTGATTTTTGTAAATAGTTCATTTAATACACATATTTTTGAAAACCGAAAAAATACATACGAGTACAATACATCATAATTTGAATATGTGAATTTTTTACACTACAAATATTCGAATTCGAATACAAATATATTTGAATATCATTAACGAATCGAATACGAATCTATTTTAAGATTTGAATAATATCCGAATACGAATACGAATATTCGTCAAGTTATACGAATACGAATAATTTTACTCACTATTCGATTCGATTCGTTTACAACCCTAGTTGCTGTACATTGGAATTTTCCAAACAATACATCATTATTGCATTGTGTTATCCGCCCCCTTCCATATTGCTTCACAATTTCACTGTTTTTGTGCCTATGGGTTGTATCGACTTATTTAAGAAATTGCCCTAGTTAGGAGTAAAAACATAGTACTCCTATTTAGAGAGAATCCTTGTGTTTAGTACTCCGTATTATATAAGGATTTGTTGGGCTGCTCTTTTAGGCTTACATTCAAGAATGTCAGTTTTTATTCTTCCTTTTTACTGGCTTTGGTAGATTGAATTACCAGAACTGTCTTTATTTCTCTTCTTTTTCTCACAGTTTGTTCTTTTTTAAATTCAAATGATTTAAGACTGTATTCAAGTAGATGTACTGCTAATATGCTACGTAGTACATGATAATCAGTCTAATTTCATACCATTATACTACTATAATGAGTTTTTGCTACTTTGTTAAGAAATGTGTAGCTAACTTTCTCTGTAATTTCAATGATGTATTTTGTTTACTGTAAAAGGTTGCAGGCAATGTATGTGCTTTCTATATGTGTCAAGTTACATGCCACAATAAGTTAAGTAAGGCTGGACCCTCTCTTTGAGCCAGTGAGGATTGTCAGAGGAGATCAGTGATTGCAGCCCATGAGTTTTCTATATCCACTATATGTCCTGAGGCTTGATGGATTTTTGTTATTTGCTTATTACCCGGCAATAGTAAATAAGCATGAGGATGATATTCACAGTTTGCTGTTGGAGAAAACCAACAATGAGCAACAGAGATCTGCTGCAAGTTCTGAAAATTGTTCAGCTCCACAGTGGTATGGGCAATTGGGCATGCTATAAAAAATCTTGTTGATTGACAAGTTCAACACTATTCAGAACTAATTAAAGTATGCATGCATCTAGTAACGCATAAGCACATAAATTTCTATCTAGAACCACATTTCTATATTGACTATCAACAACACAAACATTTGAGCATATTCTGTTTTCTTTAAAAGATTGATAATTTGATTTTCATTTTTTTACAATTGGCTATAACTTTAAAAATGCTCATATGCTAGTCTTTTAGTAGTTGCACTCCATGTTCTTTTACTTCGTGCATCTGCATACATGATACATGTCCACCTTTTCTCTTTTTTCCAAATCAAACATTTTGTTGGAAGGAATGCATTCTGTTTTTGTTGCAGCTTCATCCGTTGCAGTGACACGATATATTCTTACAGGAAATTGGAGAAATTACTACAGTGTTTGCAAGACAAGAACACAGTGATTCAGTGTTCTTGTGAAGCTCACATCGTTGGTGAATAGCTGTAAAGCCAAAAACGTACTCCCTCCGGTTCTTTTTAAACTTCACACTTTGACTTCACACAAATTAAGGAAATAAAATTGACTTTACTGTAGAGTACATTGTTGTGGCACTGTTTGACCCTGTTTGGCACCGTTTTGATGTAGATAATTTGCTAAATAAGGAAGGGAGAAGAAGTGTGAAGTTTATTTTGGACCTACCCAAAAAGGAAAGTGTGAAGTTTATTTAGAACCGGAGGGAGTACAAAGTATTAACAGGGTATCAAACCAGTTTTAAACCAGAACAGAAACGGTTTGGGACCAAAACTAGAGATGGCCCGGAATTTTTGGGCCCGAGTTACGAGTAACCATATTGGGGGGACCAGGAACCTGCCAGTACGGAACAGGACTAGAACCAGGCCCTGCCCACCATAGTCTTCTCTCAGGATTGGCCTCTGCAAGCTCATCTTCAACATTCTGCTAGATTGTTCTCTGCACAGGCCCGGCTCCATTGCTTGGGCCATAACCAAGATTCTCTAGGAATTCACCTCAGTGACATGCAACTTCATTTTCTGATGGGTTTATCGCTGCTTTAGTCGCTACAGCTGGATAACAGAGAACCACAGAAGTTGGAGATGAAAATACAGGTAGTCAATGGATGCTAGGGATGAAGTTGGTTTTGATTCCGGACTGACCAATTCTTCCATTCTCTGTAACTGGGCTGGGAAACAGGTACAGTATAGCTATACAGGCCCGTGTCAGCTTATTGCCTCCTGCCCCCGGGTCAGTCCCCGACCAACTTTTACTCTCTAAAAAACCAGGACTGGAACCAGATCCGGGAGGCGGGAGCTGGTTCGGGCCTTCATTGGAGGAACCAGAAGGGAGTTTGGCTTGTTCGCAGCACCAGTCCTTTTTTGGAACAAAAAATACAGGTGCCCAAGCCGGTTAAAGCACCAACCAGTCCCGGTTCAATTTGGAAACCAAGACTGAGTGCATGGCTAATGATTGCCCAGTGCAACCATAAAATATCTGTATGTTGAGTGTATGGTTAAAAATATTTGTATTCTTTTGGCTTGAGAATATGCTGGAATAAAGCAAAATGGCTCACTAAACTGTCTGCGTTTCTTTGTTATGAAGCAACAGAATTTTGGACTCGATTTTCACTATGGGTCATCCGGAAACAGTTTCTCTGTGCTTTAGTACAGGGGTAAGACTGCGTACATCTAACCCCCCTTACCCTACCGTAGGTGGGAGACTTTGCGGCACTGGGGTAATGATAATGATGATGATGATGATAATGAGTGCATACCAATATGTTGTGCTCACAGCCAGGGCCGTCTAATGAATTTGGAGGCCCCGGTTCAAAATGGCGAATTGAGGCCCTCTAAAACGATAAAGAATAACAAATTTAATAATGAAATACAAAAAGACTATATAGTTAAATAAATTATAAGTTTTATAATGTTTAAAATACACAAATTAAACAATCTTAAAGTAATATTACATCGCTGATGAAAATCCACATATATGAATATGATTGTCCTCCTAGCTGTTTTCGAAGCAAAACCATCACTTAAATCATTATACTCTATCTTGTAGAGAGCTTCATTCACAATTTGATATCATTGTCAAACCATTGAGTCTTTGTTGTGACATAACACACGTTTTAGAATATGAACTAATACACAATAGATAGAAAAAGCAACCTATAACTAATACATGTAGAGAAATGGTTCCAGATAGGAGTAAAATTGATGGTCTATACCTAAATAGGAGTTAAATGCTTTTAACTCCTAAATAGGACTTAATTTACCGTCTCTTCCAGATTTGCCCCTACTCTTTTATTTTAAATGCTCCGTGTCGACAACTTCTCGTCCAAGGCTTTTCTTCTTTCGTGTGGACAAACAGAGTACACGATGTTACGGTGGCGCACCAGCGACAGACCGGCGATGCGGCGGCGGAGGAAGGCTCTGGTTGTACAGCTACTCGTCGGCAATGCGGCAGCGGTGGTCGAAGACATAGCTTGGCTGTACGACTGCTCGCTGGCGATGGGATGGAGATATGACAGCTCGGCATGGAAGTCCTTCTCCTCCTTTTTTCAATTGCAGAAACGTATGGATCCAATGTTGATAGGGATTGATAAGCTTGGTCTCTATTTTCCAAGAAGAAACGGTCCCGGGATGTCCCCTTGCAGCTTGGGATGGCAGGTGATGGGGGAATTGCTGGAGTTCCTCAGTTTAAGGCGGGAAGAGGCGCTGGAGAGATTCATGGCGGACATAATTTTTTATCCACTTACAACATACGTATTTAGTTTGATTTTTGTTTCAATTTCTTTCCCAAATGTTCCAGATCTACACCGTGATTCATCCACTTCTATTTGTTTCTCCTATTCTGCTGGTATTGACATTGGGAATAAAGGAGATAATGTCATGCTATTAATAATGGCAATGTTTTATTTTCTTTTATTTTCTGGCTTCCTATTTTGTTTTACTGTACAGTAATGATACGAAGTACGGAGTCTTAATTTTCTAACAATGGCATTATAAAACATTATCAAAGTGTGTTTTTATAAAAAACAATAGTCATATTTATAGCATTGACATTGTTATGACAGTTAGATATTGGCATTGAAACAATGTCATTTTTGTAACATTGACATTGTCATTATCATGTTACGTACGATGTCATTTTTGTAGCATTGACATTGTCATTTTTATTATTTGACATTGATAATTTTCAGATATTTTGACAGTTTCTAACATTACAACATTAAATTAATTGCTTCTTCATTGTTATTTTTGATTGCTTTTAGCCATTTACATTATTTTTGTATCATTTATATTATATTTAAACAATCAAGGGAAAATAAACATAATATATAAAACGATGAATGTGAATTGGCTTTGTCTTGCAAACGTTGCACCTGCAGAAAATAAAAATGTCATTAGTTTTAACAATGCCATTTTCATAATTATTGACATTTTTATGACATTGTCATTGACATTCTTATACCATTATCATTGACATTTTTATGACATTGTCATTGACATTGTTATCGTGATTAATTGACATTACAACATTTTCCCGACATTGTGACTTTTTTTTAATAAAATTAACATTGTCATAATAGCTATTGACATTGTCATAATTGTAACGTCATTTTATAGCATCGACAATGACATCGTCATTGTGACATTTTCTTAACCCGGTGACATTTTTATACATTTTATGACATTTTTATGACATTCTTTAGACTTTTTTATGTATATAAAATTAACATTGTCATAATAGTTATTGACATTGTCATGATAGTTATTGTCATAATTACAATGTCATTTTATAGCATCGACAATGACATTGTCATTGTGACATTTTCTTAACCCGATGACATTTTTATACATTTTTATGACATTATATATAATTTTCATGACATTTTTATTTAAAATTTTCAATAATTACTGTAGTAAACTAATCGATACATCCAAGTATCCAACATTCAAACAAGGAAACAATGAAAAAAGAATTTGGGCAGTTTACCATGATTCGATTGCATAACATAGAAAAGAATTGGAAAGGGATTTCAACTATCAGCACCCCAATCAACAAACAAATAAAGCAAACACAAATCTGACAATCTCAAGTGCATAAACTATTATATCAATGATACGGTATGGTGTCACTCGGAGTGCCAGGAAAATTGCACAGAAGACGGAAAAGAGAGTTCAACGTCGTGCCGGAGACCATCGCGCCGTGCGCGAACACCTGCGGCGTCACCGGCAGTCCTGCCATCAACATGTGTCAAAAGTGCTTCGCCTCAACCACCGTGTCCTCATCCAGCTCCGTCTCGGGGTCCTAAGTGGCGATTCCGCTCTAGTTCTCCGAGGTGAGAAACCCCTGTCCCCCAAGATCTACCTTCCGGAGGTCGTCTCCTGCGAGGTTGGTTCCAGATCTGAACAACCAGGACCGGCCGAACAAGACCATTGAGAGAAGCGATGATGTCTCAACATCTGCTGCCAAGAGTGAGGTAAATCCTTACTCCGTCTGCCGAAGGCAGGTCGAATTGACCGGATTCCGCTAAAGTGCGACGAGGGAGTTTGGATGATGAAGTTTGGTGTTCGTTGTTGTGAGGTGCAGCTGGTTTTTTGGAGAACGTCGTTCAAGTTGGGGCGGTCTGGGAAGGGTATTTTTGTCCTTCAAGTGAAAATTAGTCCTATCTATGAATTAAAAAGTCCGAACTCCTATTTGCCTTCGATTCGTATGTTTTAGTCCTATTGACGTCTTTTTCCCATACATGTATGACACATACTAAATATTTGGAGGCCCTCTATAAACGTGGGCCCCGGTGTGAAGCACCTATTGCACCTCCTAAAAGACGGCCTTGCTCACAACCAAGAAGCTGGGATACTTTGTATTCATCAACCCTATTGATGAGTGAGCTGTTTGCTCTTGCAGACTCCACTATTTTCTTTGTGGTTTCATAGGACACCTTGTCTGGTAAGTCGTCATCTTGCAACCTGGATCTCAGGTCCCTAATGTCCTTATATATCACTAACTAGGAGTCAATAGTGATTGTTTCATGCCAGGACTTCCTTCTCGCATGTTAAATTGTTGGTTCCCACCAATTCGTCCTCCACTATGTCATGCATGGCTTTCAACATGAATTGTTCTACCAATTTATTCCAGGGCCTTGATCATGGCTCTTTTGGTTCCAAGCTCTAATATCTCTTTCTCTGCTCTTGATTGAGATTCATCCAATGTGTTTGTGCAACTAATTTGTGCACTTCTATTACAATGTTTTTTTTTTCAAACGAACAAGTTTTTGCTCAAAAAGATAAGAATTTATTCACGTCATTTTATGTCTGCAAGAACCAAAAAGTTTGTCCGCGTGAAGATGGTTTTTATGTATTCTTTTTGTTCTCACAAACATAAAAACACACTTCAAATCTTATCTGTGTGAACGAATATTTTGTTCGTGTGAACAAAAGATCTTGTCAACTGTGCTACCAATCATCACCTCAATATACGTCCATAGCTGATAGCCCAGTACCTCAATAGGATTAAATAGTTTTTGCATGATTTGATTTTAGAATTAAATCCAAAATTGAATCAATTGATTTATGATGACCAGACAATGAATGTTGATCAATGAGAGCATCAACCTGCCAACTCAAACGATGAAATAGATTTAAGTCTCAGTGAAATAACTAAGTTTGAGTATGGTTCTGATTCAAGCTCTTCTTCAGATTCAGATGTAAAACATTTACTTGAGGTAATATTTTTTTGAGAATTTGTTATTCATTCCTATTTCTGAAGTAAATGTCTGAAAAAAAGACCACTTTTAGGGGTTAGATTAATGGAGTAACCACCAGATATAGAACCTGTAGCATTAACAAATAAAACGTTATGTGTTTGTGATAGAGACCTCCAGATTTCCACAACAATTTACAGAAAGAGAACAAGAAATCAAACTAATTTTATTAGAGAAGAAGATGAACAGTACAGAAAACGATGGCCAAAGCCCCCAAAAGCCGAAGCTCCCAAAGAAAGAGATTATTAGTCTCAGTCTTCCCAAGTCCCAAGACAAAACAGTCCAAAAGCCTCCTTACTACTCCCCCTTCCCGTCTATTTATACTAAAAATACTAATAGACCCTTATTACTAATATTATTCTTATTACAACTATTATTATTATTCTTCTTTCTATTATTCATCTACTAGGTAGGTCCCTATCAATACTTCCCCCCAAAACATCCACCTTGTCCTCAAGGTGGGTAATAGGAGAAAGCCAAAATCTTTTGCTTCCTCTTCCTCTTCCTTGTTCCTCTCCTTTCCCAATATCGAACTGATTGCGTGACCATGAACCTTTCCAAAGATGTCTGGCAGCTTACAAACCCCATAACCACTCTGGATCCTGATGCCATGTACTGCCGGATGTATACTGGTGTATTGACAAGCAAGGAAAGAGCTGCACATTGATAACCAACACCTTGATACTGAGGTATAACTATAACTATTTTTCCCATCAAGTAGGAATCCCTTTCTATAATTCCAACAGCTTCATTTAGCTTGGTTTCCCTTACAAGAGCACAAGTGGAACAGTTCATTTCTGGATCATTGGAGCCTAAGATCATCTTGTAAGGTTGAAAATTTGCTTCAGCTTCCAATCCCATGACAATAGTCTGAGTATTAGGATCCAGGACCACACTGATATTATCCGACTGATATTCAACAGTAAACTCAACAACCCTTTTCAGTCTATACTTAGAGGAGTCCCAATTTGCATAAAGTAGGAAACTGTCCTTCTTAACTGCCTTCCTAGGTTTAACAATGGTGTGAGGGCAGATTGAACCTTCAATTGCATTAATACGTGGATCATTCTTCCACATTTGTTTTGCTAAGGCACCCGGGAATGATACCACATCTTCACTCCTAATTTCTTGGCCTTGATTGTCAGCATCCATAATGTATTTCTCCATCCTTCTTCTATCAGTAAGTTGGTGAACCATGTTACCCCTGTTCCAATGCTCATATCTTTTCCAGAGAATCTTGTTCTCTGAACTATCAATTACCCTATGAGACTGCATCTTACGACCTACATCTTCATCTACAAAAATAATACCAATATTTGATAACCCCCTGACCTTGTCAACTTTTGTTACTGCATTGGTTAAGAGACCCTTAAAGAGATTCTGAAAATTCTTGACAGTTTCGCATTTTTCTCGCTTTCATCTTTGCCCTCGGTGGACTTCTCCTCCATAGGCGATGAAAAATAGGCTCGGGAATAAATCTGAGAATTGAGAACTTCTATTCCAGATGAACCTTGCAAACTCAGAGGAGCAACTTCAGATGAAGAAAACGAATAATGATGATCGATTGGTGGTGGAGATGGATATTCTTCTCTCAACCGCATCTCTTGTGGACTTGAAGTAGTAGCCGCTGAATCAGTCTGCGAAGGGAGAGAAGCTGTTCGCGATTGTGAACAGTGAAAAGAGGTTCGCGATAGCGAAGTTCGCGACTCCTTCTGCGATCTGGTGAGCGACTGCGATGGTTGAGAAGAATTTCGCGATTGCGATGGTTGAGAAGAAATTCGTGATTGCCAACTAGAAGAAACAGTTCGCGATTCCTTCTGCGAACTGTTTCGCGATTTGCGATGCAAAGCAGATGAGCGATACGATGCTTCTGAGGTGTGCGACCTACTTCTGGATCGATTTTTTTCCTGGTTCTTAATCTCCGCGAAGCCAGCCTGCATCATCGCTCTCACTTTCTCTAACTTCGCAATTGATTCCTTCTGAAATCTGTCAATTTTTTTCTCTATCGAATCCATCCTCTTCTCCATTTCTTGTGTACAAAGCTCTTCCATCGCTCCAGGTAGTTTATATTCTTGATCGATTCAGATTCCTTTGCCTCCAGGAAGTGAATGGCTCTGATACCA